TGAAATAACTTTTCTAGAAGAGCTTTTCCACTTTCAAAGCCAACAAATGTCGTGGTTGACAGACAGCTCGACAGCCGCAGAGGGAGAAGGAACTAGCTTTTGGAAACTGAGGGCTTCTTAAAACAAGAATGTAGTAGTGCTAATACCATAAAGACTCCCAGCTAGGAGCATCATACTCTCCTCTCATTGAGGATTTTTCTTTTTTTTAATTCAAGGAAGCAGCACTTTTTAACATGTGACACTTTCAAAAAGGGTCTTTGTTGATTCTTGAAAATATCTTTATAGTATTAGCTGTGCACTGGCTACATTTTTAGTTCTTAACCTGCACAAAGTGTTGCTCACCTGTTTGATTAGAAAGGTGGATTTGATTACATTTCAGACAGGAGTCATGAGTTCTCTGAAGGCATCTCCTTGCCTTACTGGTTTGGGATTACAGAACAAATGTCTTTTCATCTGAAAACCCCCATATTTTTCACTGGGTCCTTGTGACATGCTATTTAGTTTTGGTGCTAATTTTATTCATCTTTTATTTATGGATTTAAATGAAAATGTGCTTGTATGTCTATATTTAATAACTTTTACAGAGAAGAAGCACAAAATTCTCCTGAAGGTACAGATCTCTGTGAAAAATGACCCAGACCCTGTTAAAACATAGTGCCTCTGTGTCAGTTAACAAACTAGTCTGTGTGATTAAGAACACTTCCATTGGACAGATTAAAATTCACATATTACCAAAAAAGGCAATGGAATACAGAAATAAGTTTCTTAACTTGAGATAACAAGTAAGCAAATGATAATTTGAGAAGACACTCTGGCAACATCAACAGAATTTGGCAGTTGGGGTACACTTTAGCAAATCTTAAACGATGTTCCCATCATACCATATGGATCTCATAGCTGGAAACTCACCAGCAGTGCCAACAGATGTCAAAAAGCTTTCAAAGCAACAGAGTTAGAAAAGATTATATGTATTAACTTTAGTCTATGTATAAACATGCCAAAATTTCTCAGAGTTCATCAGCCTTCTCTCCTCTCCCTGCACTTGCCCTAAAGACCACGCAAATATTCTGAGGCTTACATGAAGAACAAAGCCTGGGTATTTTCCCTTGCAAGGCAGCAAAATAAAGATGCAATATGCTAAATGAAAGTCTCTCCAAATGAGAGTTCTTGGAAGAGATAAAAAGAAGTGGATCTAGCAACACAAGAAAAAAACAACAAGCAGTATTTCATTCTGTGGGAAAGACTGAATGGAACGAAGATGTTGCATAAATACTAATGTTATATTAGGGGAATCTGAACTTTTCAACCTTTCCAACAAAACTTTCTGAAGAAGGGCAGAGAAAAAAAGCAGATTACTCTCTTTTTGTATAACATCCAGAAACATTTCTCTTTGTTCTGTATAAATGTTCCCTCCTTCCCATGCCATGCAGACAAAAAACATTCTGACTAGTTCAGTGGCCTCAGATGGAAGGGAATGATTTCACACTGAGTGAAGATAGAAACAGTTCACATCTCCAGTTTGCTCATCAAAATGTAGCTTGTTGGTTTACACTATGAGAAAACATGGGAAGTTTGCCTGAAATACTACTGAGTATTTCTAAATACAGTATTTCTATTTACTGCATAAGGCTTTAAGGTAATCTGTATTTATTCTACAGCAATATTGAAGCCTGTTTTGCATTCATTCATAAAAGAAGAAATTTTAAATAAATTATATGAAAATAAAATATAACATTAAGACTTTAGAATAATTTAAAGTCATTAATTCTTGGCATTTCTCTTTAGAATGAAATAGATGGAAATTAAAATTTACCTGTCATAGTAAAATAAAACAAAGGAAATACCTGTCTGCACAGAAAATCAACACAGAGGCCAATACTTTTATTTTTCCCTTTGACTGAGAAATGATTCTGCTATCTTCTCAAGCAAATGAGATAAACACCAACATTATCAGGGGAATTTTTATTTACAACAAATGGATGTATTTTGTTAGCAGTCTTCTCTATATGGGACACTTAAGGTTTAGGATTTGTCATTATTACAGAGCGGAAGACAATACTGTGAATAATTACAGTCTTTCAGTATCAAAATCCACATTTTACTCAAATAGCTTAAGTACTTTTCATTAAATAATTAATGATATAGAATGAAGCAATTGTGGGGTTTTTTTCCTTTTAAATACAATTTAGAAGATTCAGAAGATGACCATGAGAGAAGATTAAGGATCTACTGCTACATGAAACATAATTTCTAGTAACAATCTCTGAGTAAGAAGTTTATATATTGTTTACTGGGACACTTCATCTTCCAGGATACTAAAGACCACTGTCAGGGGATTCTAACTCCATATACACAACTTATGGCCTATTAGAATGAAATGTAGTATTTTGTAGTTGCTTGTAAAATGAATTTGTCAAAGGGTACAAAGAAGAACTTAGTCCATTTTTATAGAAAAGCAATTGTGTTTTACAAAATGTTGAAGCAACCATCTATTTGATACAAAACATGTCAGTTTTATAAAAGGCAAGCTAGAGAACTAAAAGCACTTTTATAAAAGCACCTTTTAAAAAGCTTACAAAAGATGATATGGTAATAAAGAAAAACCAACAAACAGATGTGTCAGTGCTGTTAGTCCAAGCGAAACAAAATATGAAGAGAGTTAATTTTGCCTCTTCCCTCTGAGCCTTCTTCACAGGCAAAAAGCCAATAACCTAAGTTTCATCACCTGGCTAACTGATGAATTATATCAACACTATTTAGTCAACAGATTTCAGCATATGGACTGTAGATCCCTGAGAATCTGTGGACTAACTTTAAGAAATCTATTAAAAAAGTACTAAGAAAAACCAATTCATAGATACTGTACAACAACCAACGGAAGTAAAGTTTCTAAGTTGGTCTACATCAACAGTGAAACTGTACTAATATGCCAGGAACCAGAATGGCTGAAAAATCACTGTTACTTGAACCTGAAGGATCACTCAGGATTGTATACTTGCTTCTACATAGCATTAATTTCTGAAAATAAGTACTAGTAATATAAATAAGTTAGCCTATGTTTTCCATTTCCTGATCTACTGAAGGAAAGCTGTAGTGCACTTCTTAAAGTATCTCTAACATGTTACCCAAATAAAATCACAGTCATATTGTCCAAAAGAGTAAGACCTCAGCTGCCAACAAATCCTAACAAAATATCAGCAGAGTAAGCAATAATTCTCATTTAAAACAGATTCCTTAAACCATGAAGCTATTCAGGAAGATATTCAGCAATAGTCAAGACTAAGCATAAATTTTTATACTTTTGCTGAGATCATGCTTACAGATATTTAAGTGTGTATATATCTGTTTTATATGTATTATATATGTGTGTAAATATATATATACACACACACACATTTTAAAAGGTCTTCAGTCAAAATTCTCAGGGAGAGTTATGCAAAAGCAAGATAATTTCTTCAGGACTCAGAAAACAGTGTATCACTGAATTTTTACTGTACATGGTATTAGAGAGTGACTTCAAAGCCAGTGTAGCAATTTTATAGAATTTGAAAGATTATTTTTAGCTGCTCATGTTAAGTAGTCATTTCTAGGAGCCTACAAGAATTACACAATTATTTATAATTTAATAATTAATATTTTACTGATATGAAGTATTAAATTCATTTCTCGCACAGGATCACTATAAGCTTTCTTTAATTCCTAAAATAAGGAAAACCAAGTACCTATGCGAGGCACCTCCTTTGACGTAGTTCTGTCGTTTACAGGCAGCACAGTGCACATCAGGCCTTTCAGTCAAGTGCATCAGATCACAAAAGATGCTGAATATCAGATCTTAAGTATACTATTTTGGCAGAATATGGATTATGCAATACTGAAAGTGCTGTAATTTTCATTAGTAACAGTAAGACTTTCAGAAATCTCCTAATTTTCTATTCAGAGAAAAATTCTCAGTTGTCATACACTAAAACTCATTTATCATCTGACTTCCATAGAAGTCCAGTCTTCCACTGTATTTTCTAGTTGAGTTGTTATTAGTACAAAAAAGTACAATGGTATTCCTGACAGTCACAGATCAAATTCATGCTTCACCTTAGGTTTAAAAATTTTGTTTATTGTAAGTCACAATTCTGCCTTTTTCTCTAAGAAGAAAGCCCCTAATTAACAACTCGTTATAAGGTATTTCTGTAGTCAAGACTGCGCAAGAAAACCCAGAGCTGCAAACTGGTGGAGGCTGGAGGAATGTTCTGGAACACTTCCTCTCCAGGCTAGCCCTGTTCAGACACCCCTTCCAAGCCATTGCTTTTAGCCACTGCCAAAGACTGCAAACAAATTGATTACTCTTTAGTCTGTATGTACTTAATTCTTTACTGATGTGTCCCAGGTTCAGCATCACTTAGTAAAGGATGATATTTATGCAGTCTAAACACTGTATCTTTACAGACGCCTTAGAAATTCTTGGGCTATAACCTGAATGAAGAAATGAGAACAGGACACTTAGAAGACTTATCTCCCCCCACAGCACAGGCACAGGTTGTGGTTCTCAAGACATTCAGGGCAACAGGAGGAGGATATTCTGTGGCGAAGGAGTTCTTCTGTTTTCACTGTCTGCACTGTCCAGTGAAGAAAAAAATGTCCAGACCATGGCAGGGACACTCAGGCATGTTTGTAGTTGACAGGCATCCTTACAGTTCTCTGGATTGCATTTGTGGAATGATGTAGATATAAACATGGTATCGGTTAAGTAATTCCGCAGAGAAATGTGGATATAAAAACCAAAGGCAAAAATTGCAAAGGAACTAGCAGATAGATTTAATTTTGTGAAGATAATTAATGCTGGTATATTTAGACTATGACATTAAACATGAATCTCTCTCTTTCACTTTTTTGCTTTTGTTTTTACTGACAACCTGTTACTGCTTTGATTACAATTTCCTTTCCTAGAGATAGGAACGCGTGGTCCAGTCAGTAGGATTTTTACACAGGTGTTCAAAGTCCACGAAGAAGTTCAACTTCTAGCTACCTTTCTAGTGTGTGTATGCCTGCATTTGACTTTACCAGCATTGACTTTTGCAGCTCTTTTTTCTGAAGACTTGATCGGCCTGAACCTTCAGGTAAATATAGTATGCATTTAAGCTCTTAACCATTCCAATATCTGACTGAAGGTCAAGCCTATTAGACTTGCTTCAGCTCACATCAATTATTTCCCCCCATTGAAGGTGATGTCACTATGATTCCAGCTAATTAAGTCTGTAATATTGAGATAGAGTGTTTAATAAGGCTCAACATAGAAGAATCAAGTTAACTCTGTCAATCTTCTTTGCTATAATGCATTTTGTTATATAAACAGTCCAGCAGTCTAAGATTTGTAGATTTGCATTTGGGTGCCTTTTTCTGATAGACATAGGTGAATTTGCTCCTCTTCTGGTAAAATATCCTTCAGTGGCATTGACCTAAATATATCCTAATATTGAAAAAGGTAAAGCTGATTTTACATTCTAGACATAATTTATCACCTGCAAATAGAAAACCAGAGAAATATCCTCCAAGCAGCATCTGGTTAATAACTGCAAACAGAGAAGTATCTATCCAGTCATTCTTAGCAATCAGTGTTAATTTTCAGTGTCTTTGCATAGCTGTAGATAATCACATTCCTCTTAATTTACAGCTATGTTCTAATCCTTAATTTAAAACCCTACTGAGATTTTTATTTTAGTACCTGAACAATCAATCATTTGACAATGTGTGAAGTGGCAGAAGAATACTAGTAAACCTGAGACATAGGTTTTGTCCAAGGGTAAACATCCAAATTAGAAAAGCAAGGAAAATTCCTAACTAAAGGGACACCTGAACAATTACCCCATTGGAGGGTGGCTGGTCATAACTTCTCCCATACACATTGTTGTGCAGTCCTCCTCCATCCTCCTGGTTTTTGGTTACACCATCTGAAAGGATATAGACTCTGCAATTTGGAAAAGCCAAGAACACTTTTTCTTCCTTTCAGGGGAGGATTAGGAAAATTCCTGTACTTATTCTTTGTTTCAAAGCACAGGAATGAGCTAAGCCAACTTACTGAGGTAATTACATGCAGTCTCAGTTCTGCTTGAAATACATAATAGAGGTGAGCTGGACCACAACACTAATCTCTGACTTATACACCTGCCTAGAGTTTTAAAGTTGGACTACACTTTATTGTACGTTACGGTTAAAGCTTTTTGAAATTGAAACGGAAACAGTTTGAATTAGGAAACAAACCCAGAATAAACCTCAATTTAATTTTCAGTGTAAACACAGAGATGGAAGTTTTAGTCTTTACAGATGGAATTTCCATTAACAGCCATACATGGGTCATGATTATCCCAGTGACACCAACTCACAAAACTAATCTCTGTGATGGTATCTAGCAATGGAGCATGATTCTGAACGACCAACTACACCTCTGTAATAAAAGATGAATTGTCTTGGATTAGTCAAGATGATGTGTGTTTCGTGGCTCTACTTTATCAGTTCTCTCTGTTCTGTGAATGAGCAGGGCAACTTTATCTTAAGTAAAGAATTAGAGTGCATCCTTGATTTCCTAAACAGTGAGACCAGTTAATATGATAGCACAAATGGTACATAATAACTGGTACATAATACGGGCTGCTAAAATTATAACAGTATCTCAACTTCTGAGTGAAAGAAAAAAATTGTCCTAAAACAAGTAAAAAAACCCTCTCCTCCTTTATATACAAAATAACGTATTTACAGTTGTGAGTCTGCTGCCCTCCTCCAGGCAAAAGACTTCTAAACTCATTAATACTGAAGTGTAAAATTCCATTGAATTGATATTTCAGCAGGTAACCATTTGAAAAAATAAAATATTCTTGTCCTACCATGGATGAGCTTCTGAGTTTTAACAAAAGCATTACACCATTCTTAAAAGATGGGAGAGACACCACAAAGAAGAACTGCAAGTCCATCATGTAAAAAGTGTAAAGATCCTTACAGAAGGATCCCTTATTAAAGTTTGGTAAACCCTCGTTCACTTGGAATCTTGTTCATTCTGTAAATAAACATGTAATACAGGTCACAGCAATGGAAATCAAAGGAACTGTGATGGTAGCAATGGGAAAATACGGACTTGAAGAGTACGTGATGTGACTCAAGATTTATATTATGTGGTAGCTTTTTTTTAAATTACTTCATCTTGTGCTACAATACCTCTTTTTAAGAGGATAATATTTAAGGTTCCTGTAATTTAAAACAAGAATGAAAGCACACCAGCAATTCCTAGACATTTCTGTGATTTATCTACTATACTACATAAATTCTTGCTCTGGGCATTCAAAATAACCACAACAAAGTCAAGAGTCAATATATATATTTTTTCATCTTTCATGTCTATATAAATATTAAGCTTCTGGTTTTATGCAGTGATCATGATACCCAAAGTATTATTTTAAGTGAACTATTAAGATATTTTTCAAAAATCAATAAGAAGACTGACATGTATCATAAAAGATCCATAAAAACATATATAAGATTTCACTCTTTCACTAGGATAGTAAATGTTAACTATTTCTCTCAGCAGAGCAAGAGATATGTACATTTAATTGAATGTATACTAAATATTCAATTCCTGTAGAAGAAAGGTGAAAGATAACATCGGCATTTATAAATCAGTGTCTGTACATCTTGTCAATTAAAAAACCCCAAGGATAAATAATACTTATTAGCCTCACAGAGGTATTTTGAGACTATCTGGTTAACACTTATAGAATGTGTTAATAATTAATGCACTATTACATGTTCAGTCACTATATATAATTACCACCCACATTAGAGGAGATTTGCCCACTGGCAAAATAGAACTATTTCTATATATAATGGAAGGTTATATGAAAGCAAGCAAATGCATAAACACCTATTTCATATATGAAAACTTGAAATAACTCCAATAAAGATTTGGATTGCAAGTCTGTGATTCCCCCTACTTACATCATCTAATTTTAATCCACTTTTAAAGCACATTCTACAAGAAAGGAAGCTCTTACTCCTGTGAGAGATAAGTGTAAAAGCAAAAAATGGAACAGATCCTGGAAACATTAAAATTAATGATGTCTGAGAAATCATTATGGTTATAAACCTTGAGCCTGACAGTTTTAATTCAAAGCTCACAAAAACTGAGAAACAGTTAAATAAACTGAAGGACCAGATGGTCTCAGCCTTCAGGGAATTCACTATAGACAGATAAATTGGGAAACAACAGTCAACAGCCAGAAACTAAAGATATTCTGAAGTGTTTTGAAGGGTCTGATTTCTGACAAAAAACTTGAGAAGATATTTTTTCTAGAGAAAAGCCAAAAACCAGAGTGTTCATGAAGACTGTTTTTCCAAGAGATTTTTCAACACTTACATTCCAAAAGGTTCATACTGGGTATCTCTATGCCCAAATTCAGACCACTGAAATGAGTTATTTCCTAAGAACAGACATCAAGACTTAAATTTGTAATAATAGACTTTTCACCAAGTACCTCCTTCTCACAAACACTCCTAGATACATATATATATATCCTATAACAGAAGTTTAAATTATTCCACAAATGATATTTTTTTCACTGCTTTCCCCTGTTTCATAAGACTACGAGTAGACAAACATTTTATTCAGTTTTCATGCCTTACATCCCTCATTGTCTCTAGTAGTATCTACAAGTCTTTCTCTCTTAGAAGGAAACTAAATGACATTGATTTTTCTTCTCCCTGCCCCTGCCTGACAAGTAATTATATGCTGCCCTAAGATGCTGAGAAAAAAAACCTGAAGTATGTAGAAAAAATGGTCCCCAAAATTTATAAATCACTCATGGTGCTTGCAGATCTTCTCATGAAGTAGGTTTTGATAAAAGGGTCTAATTTTTTCTTCCCTCAATGAGTTTTAAGACTGAAGTTGGAATTTTAATATATTCAGTCAGATAAGTAATTGTAGGTTCCTTCTTCTCTTACCCCAGTATCTTAAAAAATTTTTGTACCTTACGGCAAATGCTGAAGCATTAAGTTTATTTCAAGCCTTTGAAAAGCCACAGAACTAACCTATATACGGGGAAGAAAGAGCAGCAGCAAAACTTCCTGCTCTGTAAGTTGCTACCTGCACACCATGTGAAAGTAGGTAGGGCATACTTTTATTTGTATTATGTAAGTATTTCACATCAAACCTATGCCCGCTATGACAGTAAAATTATTTATATAAAACTTAAGATAAATACTAATGCTTTTTACTCCGAACAGACTTCAATTTTATTTGCATATCAACTACTCACCTTTTCAAAACTAACACTTCTGATGCATCATTTATTGGCTAACTACTGCAAGCATATTTTAAAGTTTCAACTCCTATTTTCTGTTATTGTAAACTAATTTTCTATAAGTAGGCTTGAAAACAGCCATATGACATCATGCAGCCCTAAGCCATGTACAGGTGTCTATGATTTCACAGTAACAGACCTGCTCATACCTCAGTCCACTGATTCTTCATATGGAAAGGTAGATATTTCTAGAGACAAACAGCAGTGATACATATCTCACTTCTTATATAACTGTAGGTATCTAAAGAGCTGGTTTATTTCCCTCATAAGAGCTAGTGATATTGAGGCTTTAAGAGAGGTTATATTTTACTTTATAATATGATTTTATCCATCACTTGGCCTTAGTCATACTAAATCTCTTTGATTCTCATTAGGTCAACACGGAATACCTCAGTCACACCAAGTAAATAATTATTTATTTCAGCCTTCTCATCTAAATTTGGCCTAGTGAACATTTCAGAAAAAGAAGAAAAGCTCTGAATACTTCTAACAAGAATAATGACACAGCAGACCTCTATTTTCTACAACCTGTAGAAGTAAGAAAAGCAGAAAGCCCCTACATTGAGTTAACTGCTTGCTCTTCATGCTAACATCAACAATGCAAAGGTGGGCACACCTCCCTTAATCAGTCCTTTCAAAAAAAGGACTTGTGGTTTATAATGCTGGTAATGAGACTAATTTTCCCCCACATATTACCACATTGCCAGTAATCAGGAAAATAAAAGTTTTAATGTTTCTCTTTGGCTGATTTTCATGACTATCTAACAAATGGA